ACAGTGTGGTGTGGTGCTTCAAAACTTTTGATACACTTCTCTTTTGACAGAGGAAGAGTATTCAGTGAAGGAGTATGGTCTTACTTTAGCCTTCAAACATTGGAAGCCTGACTTAGCAATTCTTACTACTTATACATGACAGTCATTTCTAACATCAAACCTGTCCCCAGGCTTTCACTGGATCACTCACAGAACACAACCTAAGTCTTTCAAGCATTTACCATATCACCCAGATTTAAATAAAAACCAACCAACCAACCATGCAGGAATTAAGCAGAAAATTCCTTTGAGAGTTTGTCAGTGCATTCACAGAAATGGAATCCTCCAGTGTATTTTCTATCCCAAGGTCAGAAGGGGCTAATGGAAGGCTGGGGAATGAAGAGCAAGTTTGGGAGCACAGACTTACACAAACTGACCACGTTTGTTTGTTCCCAATCTTATCCCCAGGATGGATTTCATTTGGCTTGTGATAACAGGATACATAGAAAATAGCAAGAATAGAGATGAAAAAATAGAAAGAAGCTGAGACACTGTAGGTCTAAATGAAGACAAATTCTTGTCTTTCCTTTTCAATGGCCTTGCTGAGTGAACTGACATACCTAGACCCCACATGTAGTGATTTTATGTATCTTTTATCTCGTTTTATCTGACTGTAGGGAGCCAAGTCAGGAACACAAAGAAGTGTCATAAAAGACCAAGGCTTTGAGTTATAAGGTGACCCACTGATGGGTGTGGCAGGTGGCAGGGTACGGAACAAAGCCAAGGCTGCACAGCTATAAAGGCGACCTGAAATGGTAGCATCTGGTGAAAACTGACCATTCCCCATTCCCCCATAAGCCTGAGACGAGCCAGACAACCTGATTGAGTGGCATTCTCAGCACACCAGGCAGAAACATTTCTCCTGGCTTAGATTCAGTTCTTCCAGAAGCAGAAATTTACTTGATGCTGGCAAACATGGGTCATGAAGAGTAAATATTGTGAAATTTTATTTTTAACTCTAGCATCCTGGGAGTTCTCAGAGTTAGGATTGTTCAGACAGAGGTTGGTCAGAGGTTATATGGCTGCAACATGAAGCAAGGGATCCCAGTACAGATTGAAAAGGTTTTTGTATGTTCTATGTGGGTCTGAGGTTCACAGGAGAGCACAGACTTCTAAACTTCCACTATCAACTGATTCCAGGAGGGTCCTTCTTGGATGTCTCCATCCCTCACTCTTTCTGTTAAATTTCTGATAGTTTGGCCAAACTTGGCTATCTGCTATGCTGTATCATGGACTACAAGAATGCTCTTTGGTTTTTCTCTGCCAAAACCTCCACTTTTGTTCCTTTATTGACATAGTCTTTAGATTTGGAATATTTCCCATTCTATTCCGGATACAGCCAGTTCTCTTAGGCAGAGCAGCAGGAAGAAGACAGTGGCTAACTTCTCCCAGAATGACACTTGCAAGCAGAACCCGAGGTGCACAGCCTCTTGCCCTCATGGCTTCCTGTCTGTGGTCTATTTCTACCACCAGGTGTGTGTGTGTGTGTGTGTGTGTGTGTGTGTGTGTGTGTGTGTATCTGTGCGTTTATTTGAAAACTAGAAGTTAACATTGGGGTATCTTTCTCTATAACTTTCCACCTTAGCAGGGTCTCCTGCTGAACCTGTCAATCACTCATTTTACAGGACAAGCTGGTCTACAAGCCCTAGGGGTCCTGCCGCCTATGCACTCTCAGCACTGGGGTTATAGATGTACACGGCTATGATCAATTTTCTACATGGGAGCTAACAGGCTGAACTCAGACAGGACTGCAAAGCAGGCAGCTCCCTCACTGACCCATCTCTGCAGCCCCACCGTCATATATTATCTTAACCACTGATGACGATAATTGTGCAACAATAACACAGCAGCTAACATCTATGAATCACTTACCAAAGACCAGAGATCATGTTATTTAATCCTTTTTAGCGCAGTTAATACTAGTCAGCTGATAGTTTTAATACTAATATAAGGTATAGAGCTGTAGCATCTGAGAGGCCTGGTGGCTCGAAAGTAAAGGCCCTGGGAGGGGTTTATGCTCCCTTTCTTCACAGAGCTACTATTGATTGCTACATAGTCTTGCTGGGGAAATTGTATAAAGATTCATTTTTGGAGTACTGTGAAATGTTTCAGAGAACCCATTACTTATTTTCATTTCTAAACATTAAAATGGCTGTTGTACTAAACATTTTATCATTAGTGTTTTCAACTCATTGACTTTGTGTTTTGTTATGATCTATGTCTGGCCTTCAGCTCTTACTTCCTTAGAACTTGCCAATTCTTTTATCAGTTTGCCTAGCGCAGTATTTGAAATCAACTCAAGAGCTGCTAAATGGGTGGTATCCGAGCAAAGACTATTAGGAACTTGCCTAATAAAGGAATGTATTTAATAAGAGTATTTCCTCAGGAGCAGTCAGAGTCCCTTTTGAGTGTGATGGTTAGCTGGTTTCCTTGGGTGGGTTACGATGTCTAGTCGGGGTTGAGACGCCAGTCTGGTTGTTGTGAAGGCAGCTTTGAGATGTGGTTAACACTCTGATCGGTAGGCTTTAAGGATGACGGATTTCTTTTACAACATAGCTGGCCCCATCCTGTCAGTTGAAGTCCTTATGCTGAGGAGCTCAAGTAGGAAGGAAAGCTGTCTCCAGACGGCTTTCAGAATCAAGATTGCAACATCGGCCCCTCGGGTTAGCTTGGTTAACTTTAGACTTGCTAGATTCAACAAGCATGTGATCTGATTTACTAATTCAACTTCTTCTCTGTTCTTCCTTAATTTCATGACGCCCCTACCCCTATCTGATCTTCCTCTCTCTTTCCCTCCCTTCTCTTTCTGTATATCCATTTTCTTTGTCTTTCTCTTTGTTATTAATGTTTTGCAAAAAAAAAAAAAAAAAAAAAAAAGATTTTCTCCAGAGAATGACTAATGTCTGAAAGGAAGGAGCAGTGAGGGCTGAGATGGAGATTCCTGAGGTATTTTCTAATCATGCCCCTAATTACGAACCCTCATTCTCGAATTGCAGTTCACCTAAGGAAGTTCATGGATTCCTCTGTGGAATTATTTTGTATATTGAAATGAAAGTTTTCTATCACTAACCCTTCTAATTTTTACTCTTGAAGCAAATCCCTGAGGTCTTCTGAATAAGATGACAAATTAGAAGCTGCATCCATGATTTGGAACAAAGAAGAAAAATCAGGATATGGAGAAAATACTATATTCAAAAGACAAGGAGAGGGGGCTGGAGAGATGGCTCAGCAGTTAAGAGCACTGCCTGCTCTTCCAAAGGTTCTGAGTTCAATTCCCAGCAACCACATGGTGGCTCACAACCATCTGTAATGAGGTCTGGTGCCCTCTTCTGGCCTGAAGACATATACATAGACAGAATATTGTATACATAATAAATAAATATTTAAAAAAAAAGACAAGGAGAGAGAGAGAGAAGATATTTTGGATATCAAAAAAGGAAGATACAGGAGAACAGAAAAATTCTTAGGGATAGAAGAACAAGAACAAGACGAGAAGAGATAAGCTATGTTTCCAGGCCTGTGCCTTTAATCAGGAGAAGGGAAACAGAAGCCTCATCTACAGGGATTGTATTCTCTCTTTACCTCTGCTAGAAACTGAGCCCCAGAGAGAAGGCTGGTCAATAAAAAGATGCCTCAAATAACACTAGAGCAGATATGTGAGCAAGAAAGGCATAAAATGTAACACAAATATAAAGAAGAAACAGAGTGTGACTACTGAGCTAAAAATCTGAAGTAAATAAAATTATCTAAAAATTATGTGTGTAAAACTGACCTATGATCTCAAAGAAATCACAAGTAAATGGGTGGCTAAAGCGAATGTGATCAATCAAAGATCTGGAGAGAAAAGTCAAAACCAAAAGCTGGCAGTATGGATGAAAAGTTTACAATGTCCAAAAGAAAATCATCGTGAAAACTGAGATTAATAATAATAATAATAAAGAAATGCTGGAAATGAAAAACTGTATGATTAAATAAAACTAAGAAACAGTGAAAAATCATCATTACCATAGACTCAACCAATCGGAGAAAAGAACATCAAGGAAGGAAGACAAGGTTGAGGAAATGTGATATCAAACATCATGGAAAAACAAAAGTCAATGATCATGATCACACCTTCAAGAACCTTGGGATATGATTAAGACTCCAAATTTACAATGGGATAAAAGCAAGAGCTGAGATGAACACTAAGGTCATTGAGAATCTAGTCAGTGACATTAGAGCAGAAAATCGCCCAAATTTTGGGAAAGAAATGGGAATCCAATCACAAGAAGGTTTTAGAATCCTAAATGAACGTGATGACAGAACTTCTCTATGACATATTACAATCAAGATGCGCAAAGCACAAAAGAAAGAAAAGAAGACCTGTACTAGAAAAGTGTCAACTCAGAAAGACAAACACATGGGAATAATTTCATACTGTTTGACACAATTCCTAAATGCCAGGAAATCATGGAATGGTGTATTTGAAGCTTAGAAAGCCAAAGTATTTCCAACCAAAATTGTTACATACAGCAAAGTAAAATGCAGGGGATGGAGAGGATAGTGAGGAGCAAATATGAACAAAGTGCAATGATACCTACTTATGAATATGGCATAAGAAGACCCATTACTTTGTGTTAACAAAAAATAAGGACAAACAATACAAATGCATTTTCTCCACATCTTGCATAATCCTGCATGTCCTTATTTCTAGATCCCACTGGAAAGAGGCGAAGCTGTGTTACAACGTGGCACATAATAGCAGTATGTGTCAGAGTGACTTCACAATTCACTGTGGACCCAAAGTACACTGTTACATTAGATTTCAATGTATGGAATCTTTATGCTAGAAAGTAAGTCAACAAAACAAAAACCAAAGAACCCCACAATCAACAACTGGTTCCTAGGGTCAAAACAAACTAAGATCTTTCATACGGCTATCCCGGGAAGAAATATTGTATTAAAGGAAAGTAATACCTTACCATTTATGAGTCTCTGTCAGGGCAGTCTCTTGTGATTCTTGGTCAATTTTAGCTGAAAATGCAAGAAAAAGAAGTGAGATAGGTATGGAGCTCTACCATCTCAGAGTCTACACAATCTGAATAACATGGAGTAGATTTAACCCTATTAATGTCACCAATATGCTAGAAATACTATTAAATGGAATTAAAACAACACTAGTATATGGGCATATAAGATTTTGATATGACTAACCAAAATTTTTAGGTTATGAGTTTATTTGGCTCTGGCACAGTGACCTAAGGAATGGAAATACTATTTTCACAGTTACACTGAATATGCCAGGACCTAAATACCACAGATTAGTTGAAAATAATTCTCTCGAGCACAGGAACAAATACCAAGTTGGAACTAAAACAAATGAGGGTGAAACACACTTTACACTCTTTGTAGCCAATGCTCTTTGGGACAGCTCTCAAGTGACTGACTGTGACTTGCTCCAAAAGGGGACGTCAATATGCACACACTTCTCTGCTGTAATTCTTCGGTCAGAGCTGGGGATCAAATCCAGGACCTCTCCTGTGCTAGACCAGTGCTCTGTCACTGAGCTTCAAACTCAGCCTCATGTGTGCTACTCATTTCCCCGTAAAAATAAAGACACCTGACAGGAACTCACGTATCAGATTTAGGACAGGAATGAGGATTTCAAATTACTTAAACATCAGAGAGTAACTCCATTAACTAAAACATATGACGGCACCTTTCACTTTCATTGAGAAGCAAGCATTCCAGGAAGTTATGATGTTCTACAACACTCCTATCTTCCTCTTCGTGCATATATATTTGCATAAATGTTTCAGAGGCACTATTAAGCAATGTGCTCAATAAATTCAGTCTATCTGAAAGACTGTAAAAGATTAGTGATAACTTCAGAAGTTAATAATTTTATGGTCATTCCCCAGCCACAGCTAGAGAGCCACCAGAGTTTCTCTATAGAGCAGCACAGAAAAACATCATTACCACACCTACATAGTCTTCATAATGCCTCTCCCACAACAAGCAAATGTGTATAAGATTAAAAAATACGTTAAATAGTAAACAAAGAAGTTGTCTATTTATAATTCTTTGGGTAATATTTGGGGCCATTTGAAGAAATCAGAAGGCAAAATGGAGGAGGGTAAGTTAATCACTCTACAATCATAAAAAATTGGCAGTGTTGACCAAATAAAACCCATGATCCTGTGGGGATTGTTAAAGCGTCTCTCTCACTACTTGAAACACAATAGCGCAGCTTGGGTTCATTAAAGTTTTACAGTTTTCACAACTGCTCTGACTGAAGGTCTGTACAGCATCTCTATTGTCCTGACACAATGTCAGGCTGACAGTCTCTGCCGTGGATGTCAAAACTTAACAGGGATCATTTGAGCTGGCAGCGGGATATTTTTTCCTTCTTTCCCTTCCCTTGTTGTACTTTAGACTGTTTACATGAGCTTACAGGTCCGTCACTAGCCACAGGAAAGACTGAGGTGCACTTAAGAGACTCTATTTAAAAGGCTCTAGTACGAACAGACTCATAAACACCAGTCTGAAGTACCTCAGGAAGACAAGGCTAGCTTCCGGAAACAATTCTAGAGTCATAGAGAGTGCTTTCCCGGGGAAATAACAAAGGCCGCCTGGATGAACACTACTTTAACAAAGGGCATTTTTCGTTTCCTTGTTTTCTTGAAAAATATACAGACTAAAAGAACTGATGGAAATAATTTCTGGACTACTTTAGAAGATCCAAGTAAACGATTTATGAAACTAAAAGTCCCTGAAACTGATACTCCCAGGAGCTATCTTCAATTCCCATGAGGTTAGTGTTAGCCACCTGACTTTTGGCAATTAGATTCACCTGTCAACATATGCATATTATTTAGCACAATGTCTACAAGAAACATTATATGTGAAGAAAATGTCTTTCTTAAGTTTAGGAATTGAAGATCTTTAAAATGTTGAAGTAAACCAACCACTGTTTTATAATGTTTTGACATCATTATCAAGATACAGAAAATATATTCTTGCAGCTTTTCAAAAAAATGTATGCTCTTAAATCATGGTAAAAGGGAAGAAAGTGAGTCTTGCTAGTTCACAGTAATAACTCCTTTTGATGTGTACTAACACAGCTCTTGTTTCAGTGCCTGAGAAAGTTGGCTTAAAAATTTAAAACCCAAACCATTTTAATCCAATGTGGCAGGAGACTGATCCATACCAAAGAAATAAAACATAAAAACAGATCTCCTTACCAAACCTAATAACCATGCTACAATAATAAAGTCAAATTAGAATAACAGGCGATGCTTGGGACTTCTCTACTATCCGCTATTTTTGCCCGATTTTCAAGCTACAGGAATTTGTATATTGAAATTGTAATCAGCTTTGATAAACAGTCAAATTAGAGATCAAAGAAAACACATTAAAGGACAAATTTTAACTCTTAATGTATAGTCAACCATTTAAGGAGCAGGGCAGATTTCCTTTTGTATTGTAATTTGAAGGAAAAAATACATTCTGAGAGAGAGGCATGGTGGCTAGATCTGGTAGAATAGAGACGTAGACTGGGAGTTGGGTGATCAAACTTCCGGGCCATCTGACCCTTGAAACCTTGTCTCAAACCCAAGGGCGGGGCATGGAGCTGAGTGGTAGGGCATTTGCCCAGTATCTGCCAGGTCTTTGTTCAACACAACAAAATGCCTTAAAAGTTGGGGTGCACACATCATCTAGCATGATGCTTTGCACAAAAACCAAAACAATAATTTATTGTCAAAGTCCCCTTTTGGGGTCATTTATTAAAAAAAGAGTATTCTAGTTGCACAAAATAACAGGTTTCACTGTGATATGAACATAGATTTTGATGCTAACTCACTCAGTCACACACAAGTTATGGTTATTTGGGGTACTGAAGATGAACCCAGAAAACTGAAATCAAATGTCATATAAGCAGTAAAAATCTGCCTTCACCAAGGGGGGCACAAGCTATTTATGCACAGTGACCAAACTCTCAGCACAGCTGCATCTGGCAATGCTCATTATGACTTTGCTAAAGGTGACATAGAAATTAAGACAACTTTCTACATGTACCACAAACATGTTTTATGAATATTTAAATTTCTTGAAGTATTTTTTTTTTTGCTGAGATATAAAAATCGCTTGTAGCAGATTGGTGAGATGGCTCAGTCGCTGGACACACTTTACAAGCCTGGTGACTTGAGATTGAGCCCCAGGAGATATATAAAGATGAAGGAAAGAACTGAATCTTCTAAATTGTTCCTTGAGCCTCTCACACACACACACATGCACACACACACATGCACACACACACACACATGCACCCACACACATGCCCGTACTCCCCCCATGCCACATGTAAGTAAAGAAAACAAATTACTTGAAGTTAATTTCTAATGGTGCACATGATTCTGTAGAGAGTTTTGAAAGCTTGGGTTCTTCGGGGCAGTAATTTCCTATGTATATACAATCAACTATTAACAAAGATTATGATTAACGTATGCTCAAGTCATCATAGAAAAGAAAGGAGGGAAAATATTTATATTTCAGAATTCATGTAAGAGTTCATCCCCCACTCATTGTATCCAACTCCATAGTGAATTTGACATACCTAGAGAATTCTCAATTTTCATAATATAGGCTGGGCCTAAAATCTTCCTAAATTTGTTTTTATTATTTTTGAAGAGGCATAACAGTAAATAAAATTGCCCCAAGAACAGTGCTTTTGGTGAATTTAGGGAGAACATGCCAAAATCTCAAAGATAAAATAATTTCTTTAAATTGTGCAATGTATCTGTGTGTGGTGGCAAACACTTCCAAGCCCAGCACTTGGGAGGCAGAGGAAGGTGGATCGCTGTGAGTTCAAGGCCAGTCTGGTTTACATAGTGAGTTCCAAGGCAGTTAGAGTTCCATAGTAAGAACTTGTCTTTAAAAACAAACAAAATTTTCAATGCTTCTCCAAAGCAGGTATGTTATTCGGAGTATAGCATGGGCAAAACCATGCAGGTCCTGGTGCTTGAGAGCCACCAGCAAGAAAATGTCTGGGGAAGATGCATATGTAATACAGGCTTGGATATAGAGTGAAAAGCAAAAGAGTGAAAGAAATCAGTGAATTCTCTACTGACCTGGGAGGAAGAAGCAGACTGATTGAATAAGAACAACAGCAAAGAAGAAAATAGTTTGCATTAGGTAATCTCCAGTGAATATCAGCAAGTATTATTTTTTTAAATATTTATTTATTTATTTATTTATTTATTTATTTATTTATTTATTTATTTATTTATTATGTATACAATAGTCTGTCTGTGTGTTATGTCTGCAGGCCAGAAGAGGGCACCAGACCTCACTACAGATGGTTGTGAGCCACCATGTGGGTTGCTGGGACTTGAACTCAGGACCTTTGGAAGAGCAGGCAATGCTCTTAACCACTGAGCCATCTCTCCAGCCCCAGCAAGTATTATTTTGATAGACCTAAACCTATATGGAGAAATTATGGTAGGAAAGTTGGTCAGTCAACTGCTGATCCTCAGAGGGGAAGGGTTCGATAGTATTAAACCTAACATCACGGCTGTTACTCCTTAGCCTTTAAATTCACTGGGTAAAGATCTGTAATTAGTGGCAGAGAAAGCCCACAGTTGGGACCACAACAAACAAACAAAACAAAACAATAATACCACTAAACTTCTTAGGAGGCAGCTTTCACCATTTCCTTTAATTCGTGCTCATTTATTTTAGTATTACGGTGTAAGATTATCTAGCCTCTTAGTCTGATTCCACCAAAGAAATGGTGGAATGGTTCTGAACCACGGAGCACGCGAGTAGTTAAAGCCAGCAGTCCTGATGATGTCTTCTCAGGCAGCACTGAGGCGTCTTACCCTGAACTTCTGGCCCCACAAATTATTCCTGGTGGTTGCTGCCCTACTAAGTTAGTCATCTGACCCACTGATTGGCGTCTCTAGTCTCTGTCTGGCTCCAGACTCTTCGGCACTGGGAGATATTTCTGCTGACCTTGTTCCAAACGACTGAGT